GCATAAAGAAACAAGCCGAAAAAAGGGACAAAACCCCAGATATCCCTATTTCTATCTTATCTACCATTTTTTCTGTCTTCTTAATTCTATCCCTTATTCTGTTATTAGTGTTTCTATCCCTTTTTCTGTTATTAGTGTTAAATAAGTGTTTAAGATTAGTTTTAAGGTTCCGGGTTATATTGTCGCGATCGGGGATATGTATTGTACACGTGCTTTGGATACAGCGAACTATTATTATCGCTGTAATTTCGCATGCTACTGTTTGTACCGTGAAGTTGGAATCCCCCGAAATAGAATCAATACAAAGACGCGAAATAGCTTAATTGGAAAATAATATCAATTTTTGTTACTTTATCCTGTATACCTATGTGGTGAATTCTAATTTAGCACACTTTTACACCATAAACAAAAACACGTCGCGTTATTAACGCAAAGCGTCAAATATCGGTCCAAGGTCACACGCATCGGCGCCGACTGAGTACGAAAGTTGAGATCCGTATCCGTATCCGTATCCGCGGATCTAGACACTAATGATCCGTATTCGTATCCGTATCCGCGGATATACATTTTTAACGATCCGGCACATCACTAGTAATTTCATAAATAGAGTTTACACGATTCTTTTATTAAAAACCAAATATATATTTGTAAAGAATTCTACATCATTGCACATTTTAATTTCAGTTTGCTGGCAGACTGAAATAAGATACGATCGCGTAAAGTTTCGTATTGCTCCAATGACAGGGTGCAACTGTTAGAAACATCTCGGATGTCGAAACTTTCCAATGCAACCAACTTCTCGTCGTCACTAATATTTAATAATTCCTGGATGTCAGACGAATTTAACTTGTATTTTACTTTGGTGAACCTATCGAAATAATCACCCGGAAGATATCTTACGCCAACAAAATAAATGTCTACGTTAATTACGTTCATTACTTGAAGGAAATCGATAATGCGTGAAACAGGTTCTCTTATATCGTATAAATTATTCGAAAACTTTCCCTCGAGTGAGAGAACAAGATAAATCTTAAAATTATTCGTACAACTCCAGCTGTTCGAGAAGTTCTTTTTGTAATCCTTTCGTTTCGCTTTGGTCTCGTAAAAATATAAGTACACTTCTTTGAATTCATACAAGTTAAATAGCTCTTGATAATAAATCAGCAATTTCCAATAATGAAATACCACTTTTGAATGAGAACAAAACTGTTCCCAATTTCTTTTCAGTTTGATTTGTTTGTGAGCGCGGAGCATGAATTCAGGTATGAACATTTGTTTGTCTATATATGTTAAAAAGTTTTTGGGTAAAGGTTCATCTTTAAAAAATCCAAGTAAAAATAATAACTCCATATTAGATATATTATGTGGAAATTTAATATATCCGATATATATAGATAAAGCTGAAAGAAACTCGTCAAATGTCCGATGTATAAGACTGTATCGAATGATATTACCGCATTTACAATAGGAATCCAGTGTAAGAATGTCTAGTCCAGTAATAAACTTGTGTTCATCTTCATTCGGAAATAAAGACTCCAAATCTTGTGATGTGATAACATTTTTGTCCCTGTCTAATTTTGTTAATTTAAGTAGCAAATTTTCTCCCACAAAATATTTTCCTCTTTTAAATTTATCTTTTTGATTAGTTTTTCTGACGTAACGTTCAGTCATAAGAGTAAATATTTTGATGTATAAATCAGCCATCGTTTCAAGCTTTATTATTTCTCCATTTCGATGAAGACAACACAACATGTGCAGCATCAGAGGACATTTTGACATTTCTCTGTAAAACTCATTTTCTGACAGTGCAGAAATCAGTTCGTTCGCTTTACTTTCTTCTTCTCTAAACATTAATTGAACATATTTTTTTTGATATTCCGGAGAGAACCCTTTTATCACTATTCTCATCTTCATGTCTTCTCTGATATCTTCCGCTGCTTGAGTTCGACTCGTTACCAAAATAGTCATTGTGCGAGAAATATCGAAAGATTCCTCTCTTATAAAGTTTATAATTTTAGATTTTTCTACAATTTCATCGAACCCGTCTAAAATTACCAAAATGTTCAGTTTTTTATCTTGCAGTTTCCAGTTTTTATCAGATAACTTATAAATATCATCGAGTAATGCATCTGCTACATTTTTATCACCCAATTCTCTTAAAATTACAATGAAAGTTAATTGAAAATGTTGCAGATAATTGGAGGATGCCCAATCGTAGGCAATTTTCTTGCATAAAGTAGATTTACCATAACCGGGATCTCCTGTAACTAAAACAGTTTGGTGTCCTTCTTGTTCTACAGCAAATATCTCATTCAGAATTATTTTCTCTCCGCTTTTGTTACCAAATAAATCTGATTTTTCTACAGTTAATTCTGAAAAATAATCCTTTAGTAGAAAATCGTTCCTTTTTCCTTCCCATAAAAAAGATCTCATGTAGGAAAAGTAAGTCAGATATTTTTCCTTCATCTTCTGGCAGCAATTGTCGAACATTTCTATAAGTAAAAAACATCATGATCAAACGTCGTGTTAATTCTAATTACATAGAAACTTATACCGTGTTTGATAAATTTCCTCTATTTCTCTTTGTACTATGATGAATATCAGTGTTCTTTTTAATCTTACCTTTATCGCTGACCAGTGAAAATACGTTTCTTTGAATTATGCTTATAGGTGCTTATCTAAAGTTGCTGACGTAACAAAGTACGTACACTAACTGTACATTATTATTTAAATGTCTCCTTTAATCAACTGAGCCAAGTAATGACAAAAAAGTTTCGTAAATGGGTAACGGATCGTGTACCGGCTGTTGAAAAACACTAACATACATGACTATTTAGGTAAAGTTTTGAAAAATATGTGGCAACTTAACAAAATCTCAGTAAACAAATAAGTATGGAATATGGACAAGTAAGTTTTGAAAGTCGTGATATACAAATGTCTGTGTACTGAAATTAGTTTCAAACACATTCATCCGTTGATTACTCTTCAAAATTTTATATGGTAAATTAATTAAAGGCATTGATTCTCGGCACAAAAGAACACAGAAAGTAAAATTACAACGATGTTTCCTTTGCATATTTATTATTAAGACATGCACTTACCATTCCTCTTTGTCTTTAAGCAACTTGCATTCGGTTTTTCAGAATGAATTTCTATTTTAGGTCCAACGTGAACTTGTGTACAGTTCTTGAGTTTCGTCAGATATTGATTACAATTCTCAACTAAAATTAATGTGTAATTAAATATAATTTGTATTAAATTATTTTTGTAAGTTTAACAAAGCAGGAGTTAAATGATAATGAAAATTGATTTATACAATATAAAAAAACGTTGATGCTTAAGATAATAATTCAAATAAACAATTATCTCTGTGAAAAATATTTTAAAAAATAGCAATTTACTGTCAGTAAATTATTATTAATTTTTAATATTTAGCACACTTTTTCTGATTTTTTTTCTATGTACATTTTCCTATTTTTCTTCCCGATCTCTGCTAAAAATTTCAAAATAATCACTTATTTCTATGATAAGCATTACAAATTTGTTCGTAAGAAACTAAAGTAATAAATTGTTAACGTTCAGTAAAGTTTAACCATTTAAAATATACATTTTGAAGAATATCTTTAAAGTTTATTCAAAGAGAGAAAGAGAGAAACAAAAGCATTTACCGTTCAAAAGTTCCTTAAACATACTTTCATTGTTCTCCACTCCGTCCATTACCTGTAATTAAATAATATATACATTGCAGTCTTTAGTCTACAGAAAAGTTTAAAGAAAGTTAAATTAAGAATAAAAAGTTTATTTTATATTAATGAAAGTCTATAAGATTATAAAAACACTTCGTTTGAATACAAGTATCTGAAAATACTTCACTTCACTGTTCTATTGTAACAGCTACTCGTCATAATGCATGAAGAAGTACAGAATGTATTAAATTTAACCATACTTATTTGTTTTTATTATTGCTATTGTAAAGTTAAATAGCAAAGCTACTTATTTCAGTTTCTGAACGAGATTAAACATACTATTTCACTCATTATTAAGTAATACTTACCTCACAATACAATTGTCTATAAAGTGAAATAAAATGCATGTTACCGACTTACATTTGCAGCTTGTTTGTAATTAACTGGACAAACGACGACACTCGTCTCTTCATTTGAAACTTCTGCTTCTGCCATTTCTATAATTCAAATTTAATAACTTACTTATAAGATTTTAAACGTTTCACAGGTTTCTTCGTTTTACTCTAATTTGTATTAAAACTAATGATTTTAAATTAAATATATAAATACTTACCTTATATATAAAACCTGATTACAATGTTCTTAATGCAGGTCTTCCTATGAAAGATCTTGTTGTAGCCGAATTCTTCTGCATTAATAAGCATAAATAAATTTCAATGACTACTGTAATATTGTACTCTGTATATATCTATTGTGTAGATATAAAAGCTAATTATTTATTTTATAATATAAATATAGTATTTTTTTATGCTTAAAAGTTTATATAATAGTTCTTGGTAACTGACATTTAACAGAATGTCTGTGTAATTATTTCCTATTTATTTATGCAAAATATTTGAAAATTTACAGTTGAAAGATCGTGTTCTGTAGATAAAAATGTATTTTATAAAAATAATACTGTATTTGGAATTACCAATTTGCAGCCGAGTCGAGCTTTCAGTCTTTACCGGGGCGTATTGTCTTAACATAGAAAAACACAGTAACCGTCAAAAATTTCAAATTCTTTAGGAGAAACATAAGGCACAACTGCAATAGTGTAAGATTTTCCCGTGTGAAGACCATTAGAAGTTGAAACTTTAGCAACAGAAAGAAAAAGATTTGGTCTTATACGAGGTTTCCTTTGGAATCTAGAATGTCAAATTATATACAATCTTATTATAAGTATGAATACAGCCAATTCAATGAGTCCGAGGTTTTTTAAGGCACGGAACTTCGGGGCCTGCACAACTAACATAAAACTTATTTGAATTGCAGTTGCGCTTGAGTTTTTGGTGTGTGCAAGGAAAATATATCCTGTAAAAATTCTTAACTCTAGCTCATCCCTACATTTCTTACATGTAGAAATATACTCGTTTCGAAAGCTTGGATATAAATGTCGGCATACCATAGAGATAGAAGACAGAATTTAACATCTGTTGTACGAGGAATATAAACTATATGGTAATTATATAATACTTTAATATATTTAAGAATAACGTTAAAATTGCATATTACCATGTGTAATCAAAAGACCTTTTTATTGTATAAAGCAATAGAAATCGATTATAAATCAGTTTATGAAATGAAGTAGTTTGAATAATGTTTATCTCGAATAACTACAATAAAAATTTGAATTTTTGTCTGAAAACGAAGCGAAAGCAAGATCTGGGCCACACTGCTCCAAACTCCTCTGTAGCATTGCTACTCAGAATACTTAGAAATGCTTTTTGTAATAAGAACTTCCTTATTACAAGGATTTATAATAAAAAATTTACAAACAATTCATTTAAAATTTAAGCAAAATCTATCCAAATTTCGAAAACGCTTACTTTTATATATATAAAAAAACTGGTGAGAGCGGCAAACAATTAAATATAAACGACAGAATACACCAGTTAATTATTTTTTTAAAATACTTATTCTCTCTCTTCTTTATTCATCTACCACACGAATTCTCTATATAACAAGTCTGTTGGACAACAGTATCATAGATGCAGCAGTTACAACTGTACAAGTAAGAAAAAAATCGTCCTAATTTTCGTAATGAAACAATCCATTCTTAGGATTTCATGTCCTTTCTCTTATCACTCAGTTCTCAACATTTCTCTGTTTTTACTTTTGTCTTGTTCACCTTTGGTTTGTAATAAAAAATCAATTCGGATATTTGTTATAATCATTTCTTCTGATAAGCCTCTGTCTAACCCTCTACACGTTCTACTCCCAATTTATCCCGTATAATATTCCTCTAATTATTTAGTCCATAAGAGCTCAGTCAAGGAACATACCTTAACTTCAATATCAGATAAAGAGATCCCGTGCCGTCACACCTACCGACAATAATACAGCTGGAATAACTGCACCTACCGAACAACAAGCCGATAATTCATTTCAGGTTCCATCAGCAAACACTGAGCAAGAGCTTTTTTTTAACTCATTCAATTCAATATCATTCATCTGCTGCTACTAAAGAACATCCACCGTCCTCTACTCTCGCTGTGTCTTTTGAGGAGATTTCTCCAGTACCAAAAGGACGTTTTATAGAATATTTCATATAATTACACAATACTTTTTCTGTAGGAAGCTCATTAATTACTTGTTTATGTTATTTATAGGAGAGATTGAGCATTATAAATATGGATATTTTTGTAAGAGTATTGATAGCTGGAAACAGATTATCGCACTGTAGATTATATGCATTAAAAATTAGATAATTGCCATAGAAGTTTCTATAATAAGTTACGACGTGAGTGGTAATATTTGTAAAATGAATTGATTTTAAAAAATATAAAAAATATCTTACTTTTTTTTTGAAGTGAAGTAAATTCCAGTTTTGTGTTAACATTTCATACAATTGATAAACGTGGCGTAGAAAATTCATGTGTCACTGCACTCAAGTAACAAGTGAATGCGTCGACGTCATCACTAACTTCAGTGACCTCACTTTACGATAGAGAAAGCGTCTTCGATTGGACAATCCGAAGTGTTTTAAACAATAGTAGTTGCTTGATTATCGGTAACATTACTCTTAAAATATAGTTACTAGAAATGTATACCTGTATTAAATTAATCACACTAGCAGTTGATAATCTCCTTCTAACAGTAGTAACTGCAGGCAAACTACACTCAGACATTCGAGGAAGTAGTTTTACGCAATTGTAAAGGTAAACTGTGTTTTAACCTTGACAGGTTTTACTGTTAACTGCTGCCATCTATTATTAAAATTTTCTAAAAATATAACTGAATAATGGTAAATATCCTGTAAGGATGCTAAAATTTTGATTTCGCAGTCAAAGGAGTGTAAACTATAATGTAGTAATACTTTAGAGAATGTTTTGTTGTTGTTAATAACTTTTTAATAATAAAATACAAAACAAAACTTCAGACAATTTGTTAATATGTTAGACTGGAAGTGGCAGACTAGAAAATTTTGTTAGTCCCCATAACTGCATTAATTAGTAAAAGTGTATCGGCTTTACACATCATAGATTAGAAATTAATTGCCAGAAGAAAGATTAAAAAAAAGAAAACGAATGCGGAGATTATCTTATCCAAGGTACTGTAGAAACTTTTAAATTGGATATTTTAATATTAGGTGAATATATCAGCTCTTCGACGGTTGGGCCATGTTGAGAGAATGAAAGAACTGTTGAAGAAAGGACCCCTGGGAAAGAGCGTGGTAAGCAAAGGCCAAAAAAGTCTTGGTTGAAACAAGTGGGTGGTATTTAACGTAAGCGTTTGGGTCGAAAAGAGAATGCGAGGAAATGTGCAAATTGAGGCATGGATGTGTCTGAACATAAAGATGTGAAGAAAGTTGCTGATGGATTCTACGTTTGTAGCCACCTTTGGCTTCATCTCAACCTTTTTGGATTATGACCGTGAGTATATTCGTATATGTATGTGTGTTTTTAATATATTACAATGGACACAATCGCAGCTGTAATTGAAAAACGATTTGAAGGACATTTATATTATTTCAAGGTTTTAAATATGGATTTAGATTAAATGAGGCTCTTTGAAAATCGTTCTTTTATTCTGTGAAAGCTGAAGTTTGAGAACTCGTAAATAACCAATGTTTTAAAACATGTGGTTTAATTATAACGACGGAATAATGCTTTGTTATTGTAATTTCGAGGGCAATTAATAGCTATATTGTTTACAAACCTCAACAAAGGTATAAGTCCGAATCATAGGAAAATTTTTTGAAATCGCTCGAAAAGTGGGTCCTATTATTTAGATAAGGAGCTTTTGTGTTGAACGGCTACGTGCTCACCAAGTTTCGTTCGAATTGGAGACCCAAACGTGTGGCCCTCTCCTTATAAATGGCAGTGTAACATGTTACTCCTGCTTTCCAGAAGCCAAACGGATAAGACTACCGGCACCTGCATTAATAATAAGTAAAACTGATGGCGATAAATTATTTGAAGTGGCGAAAAAATGTAAAATTGGAGAATTTTAAATTTTCTAGAGCGATTTCTGCTGTCCGGTTGAACAAACTTTATGAATTTCATTTTCCTTTTTATTCATGAAAGGAACAAGAACTGAATTCATTATATTTTTAATGAATTCAATTAATTTTTATCATTATATTAATGATGACGATATTTGATATGATGACGTAAAGCTTCGTATTGCTGCAATGACAGGATATAACTGTTAGAATCTTTCAGGACGTCGATACTTTCCAATGCAACCAATTCCTCTTCTTCACTTACATTTAATAATTGCTGCATGTCGACGGATAAATTCAAATTGTAATTTACATTGATGAATTTTTCGAACGAATCGGAGGAAGTAAGTTCTACGACAGGGCTTTTTAAACTGTGGGTCGCGACCCCATTTGGAGTCGTTTAGCGAAATCTTGGGTTCACGAGATTTTAATGCAAAATTTTAAAAATAATTTGTGAGAATTTGAAAATGGCATGCTTTGTGTCATAGGTTTCTTGAGTTGCGTTTTGTCACTTCTAGTGCAGCAAGACAATGATTCAGCAACACTGATTGTAGTGTGAACTACTGTAGTGTTGTCGCTTTTCAGTGTATTCAGTTGTCTCTGCTCCATTGTAACATAAGAGTGAACTGTAGTAGTACACCATTATTGGTTTTGCAAATTTGCAAATATCTTTATTTTATATATTTTTTATTTTTTTTTGGTCGCGAAGAAAATCACGATCATAAATGAGGCCGTGAATAAAGAAAGTTTAAGAAGCCCTGCTCTAATGGAAAATCGAATCTCTCTCCTTTCCATAAAAATGATCTCATGTAAGAACACTCGGTGATGTATTTGTACTTCAACTTCTGGTAGCAATTGTTGATCATTTCTATAAGTAAAGAAAGAAAAAACAGAAATTTATTCAAACGTTACACTAGATTTTTTTTTGTTTTATTAGCATATTAAAAAATTCCGTGGTTATGGTAAACATTCCAATAATTCTCACCATAGTACGATGTACAGTACAGTATACGAATAGATGCAGTTTCGTATAACGTGTGTGAGCTTACAGAAAATCTTTGTGAATGAAATATGAAATATGAACACCGATTGATCTAACTTAAATAATATACATTCATCACACGTAAATGTCTGTTTGAACTATCGTACAATAAAGTTTATAGAAAGTAAAAAATATCTAATACAGTCAAATATGGCGTTCAAAATTTGTTCGTAAACTGAGGCGTTCGAAAACCGAAATTCGACTGTATTAATACACCAGTATAACATTATGAAAAGGCCAGGTTGTCTCCAATTTTGAAAATTGCAGCCGTTCCAAGAATATCAGGAAACGTTCCTCACTATTTAACTGTTCTATTGTGGAAATGGCAGCGATGAAGAACATTTTCTGGATGAGGATTACTTTGTCAGAAGGAATGTATGATGATCGGTCAAAAACTGACCTTTTAGAGTTTTAAATTTTTTGACTTAGGAGACCTCGAAAAGTCGTGAAATGCATAAAAAATCGGGGTTTTTTTCTGCATATATAAATGCTATTGTGTGGGGGGACACGATTTTGTTCATCCTCTTTAAAGCTTAAGGAATCCCCAAGAATTTTTCGGGGAACGATCCGTTCGAATGTGTCGGGTCCCGTCCCTCACCACCCGATCGCTCCATTGTGGGCCTGGCCGAACCCATAATGGGCCTGCTACATTGGTCCACCTTTCCCTAATTTAATATATACAGTCGACCCCCCTATAACACGGTAGATACGTTCCATTCTTTATGAATCCATTTTGTACGAGTCCTTGCCAATCACAGCTTGGCACGTATGCACTTTACGGACTACGACTGTTTGAAAGGTTTTCTTCCATAAAATTAATCGATTCCTAGACTAATTCAACTCAACATTTCCAAAATACGTATATTTTTCTGGGAATAATCCGTATAAACTGCGCTATAAACAAAAAATTGTAGGATTACTTACCGAGTGTGCACCGTTCGAAGTCGCCATTGCTCAAGCTTGTTTTCGTAGCGGAGCAGCGCACCAAACGGCGGCCGCGATTTCTGATAAGTTATTTTTCTACGAAAACTTCGTTGAACTTTGGAGACATTAATATAAATAATTTTTATGGCCGTTGAATAAGAAATGTTTCTTTCACAAGAAATGTATAAAATAAGTGCTGTATTAGACTTACGGTACCTAATTTACATACTGTACAGACGATAGTAAACTCAACTTACTCACCTAAAGCGTAGCGCTGGACGGCAGAAAGCAGCTCGGCTGCCCGATGACGTTTTACCGAATTATAGGAGTTTTTTTACCATGTTTGTATGGATACAGTCGCAGTTTTTTCGCCGTCAAATAGGAATCCGAACTATAGGAACCCGTGTTATAGGGGGGTCGACTGTATAGAGACAACCTATTTTTCGTTTCTAACCACTAACCGTGAAAACTACTGAACCAATGATTACAAAATTTTAACTGTAGAATCGCTATGATCCCCGGAATGTTTACCACTAATCGAACCTACAGATTTTTTATTAATTAAATAAAACTGCAACGAATTATTGTCTGTCTATTTCTCTTTCTCTTCACTAGATGGCGACGCATGAAATTAGTACCTTCTGTCTAAAAGAAATGTCTATTATTAAAGTTTACTATTATATTTGAAAAACGGATATTAAATTATAATTAGTTAAATTCAAATTTTAAAACTTTTTTAGATGACCCTATTGTGCCTCACAATAGTAATGCTTTGGATGTGTGGAAATCCATGAAATTTTTTAACTATAATTTATGTGAACTTGCCATGAAGTGGCTTTGCATTTCTGCCATTTCAGTTCCAGCAGAAAGATTATTTTCCAAAGCTGGAAATACTATCAACAAAAAGCGGAGTTCTTTAAAGCCAAAGAATGTACACAAACTTCTAGTTTTAAATTCATTATCAATTGAAGAACTGTATGCATTGGAACTGTAATTGAACTATACAAGTTGAAAATAAAATTAAGTTTTGTTTTTTTT